AGAGGCTTTGCCAGAGATTTTGGATGATATTCCTCTTATTCGGCTAAATAATATTTATTTTCAGCAGGACGGAGCTCCCGCTCATAATGCGCAGTTAGTGAGTCGCTACCTAACTGCAGAATTTCCTGGTAGGTGGATAGGCACACATGGTCCAACGCGATGGCCAGCAAGATCACCTGATTTATCTATTTTGGACTTCTTTTTATGGGGATATATCAAGAATCGGGTATATAGTACCCAGAATCGAACAAAATTGGAATTGAAAATTGCTGTAACTGATGCTTTTTCACATTTACAGCAACATCCCATAACTATTCTAAATGCAATTAAACGCATTACTAAACTTTGTGAACAATGTGTGCATCAAAATGGTAACAACTTTGAACAATTCTTGTAACTTGAAGCCATATTTGCATAATGTTTAGTTTTTAATAATTTTTCGTTTTTAGCAAACAAAATTTAATAGATACATTTTTTTAATAAGTCAATAATTAATATTATAGTATTTTCAAAATTCTTTGTTTATTCTGGTATCCTAGCAACGCGATCACTTAATTTATCATAGCCTACTTATAAAATAATGTGGTTTTTTTAATTTCGAGGTTAATTATAAAGGTAAGTATAGAGTATTATATATCATTGAAAAGCTTGAAAAAATTCTAGTTCAATAAAAAAATAAAATATAGGTGGTTCCATTTAAAAAAACCTAAGTTGTGTTTATAACTCAAAAACCGTGATGACTAGAAAAATTCTACGTGCACCATTGGATTCTCCGTGAAAAAATCTATTAGAACCCGTTTTTACTTTTTTACTAAGTTTCCGGATAGCCGAGATACGGGGGGTGTCTGAAAATCGTAAATTTTGAAATACTCCCTGTATATCAAAAACGAATAGGTCTATGAAAATTTGGTTTGCGGCATTGTAAGTTTCACAAAAAAGTAGCTCAGGTTCGCGAAAACCGCAACTTTCTATCTTTCATAATAACTAAGATACCTTGCAAACCCATCGAAACTTGGACACCCTGTACATTCAAGGGTTGTAATTACTTTGTACTGGATACTTGAAATTTTAGTTTCAAGTAAAATTACTTATTACTTGTAGTAAAAATAATTTATAGCGCAACTTGTACTAGTTACTGGGAATACTTTTCCTTTGTACCTGTAACAACTCTGACTAGAACTAACTCTAGACCTAGAACTAGAATCATTCGGGTTTAGCCGTCTTTGTAAACTCGCGGCTAAACCCAAATAATTCCAATTGTAGGTCTAGTGTTAGTTCTAGTTTGACAGTTCTAAGTAGCGCTAGTTAGCATTAGATTATTGTTATTGAACTAGAACTACCTCTAGATCTGAAACCCGAATGTTTCTAATTCTACATCCAGTTTTAGTTCTACTTGTAATTGTTAATCAGTGCTAGATTAACAAAAGCTAGATTAATACAAAACTCAGTGGTGTAGCTGTTCGAATTTATGTGCATTAATAATTGTTTATTAAATATTTAAATAATTTTTAGGTAACTGCCCGTGAAGGAAGACCAATAATAATTTGCGAACAAGGTGATGATGAAACGGCAAAATTCGCGTACAGATCTCTTCAAATCCCTCACGCAGTTGACGCATTGCAAGGTATTTTAACGGTTATCCCAATGCAACTGTTGAGTTACCACATTGCCATGCTCAGAGGTTGCAATGTTGATTGTCCAAGAAATTTAGCAAAGAGCGTAACCGTTGAGTAAAAAAAAAAAACAAATTTTTGTTTCTACGCTGGAGTTTGCATTCTTTTTCTATTCCGCATACATCCGTATTTAATCCATTTTATAATAGGATATAAAGCTTTTTTTGTAAGTCTACTTTTCTTTCGGTTGATGGATGATATCTTTTTTTTTAATTAGTTCTATGCTAGATGAGAGTATAGAGGTTAAGTGAAAGAATTTTTGATAAGTGAAAAAGTTTAATCGCCTCATATTTTTTTTATTTGATAACAGTATTCTTTTTCTATACCTTCTTTTATAAATTATTTTTGAACGTTTTGTTATTTGAGAAGACAAAAAAAATATGGGGGAAATATAAAATATTATATTACGGTCTACACACGAGATTTTATATCTACTTATTCCTTCGTTTAATATTTTTAATATATGTCATGTTTTTTTTCTTTTTTTTGATCTTATGAATGTTTTTGTATCTCCAAAATTTTATATAGATTTTTTTTTTATTTAAGATATATTTTGTAAAGAGAAAAAATATTGTATTGTTCCTATGTTTTTGAAAAAAATATGTATAAATAAAATTTTTATTGTTACCTAGAATAAATATATAGTTTTTATTTCACCTATGTGGAAGAATCACAATTTTTAAATTCGTTTTTGGAGTTTAATGACACAAAGTTTGATAATTACTACAACTCTGTAGTTAGTCTACCCAAAAACATGCAAAATGTATTAGATTTCAGTATAGTATTACCGATTTTCGAGAATACATTAATTACAAGAAGAAAGTTGTGAAGGCAAAGTGTATTGGAGGTAGATGCTAGTAAGTATAATATCTGTTTGTTTTAGAAGAAAGAAGAATAAAGGTTTATAAAGAAGTATTTCCAAGTATTCATGATATTAGCTTGGAATAAAAAGAATTAAGCGTTTACTTGTGAATGATGATAAGTTCAATGAATGAACATTTAATGAACTTATTATAACTTCTAGTGCCAAAAACGCTTTTACTGTAAAGGAAGTTGCAACAGAAGATATCATAGATTATAAAAACTGGTGGCCAAAATACTACAAGGCTAAATAATATGTTAAAACTGAAAAATAGTCTAGAAATGAAAGAATTCCATTTTCAGTGTCAAAATTTCACCACTTTGTTCTTGAACTTGCCAAAACAAAAAGCTTACAATGACTGAAGCTTACCAATCTTAGAAACAAAACTTTAAAATATCAAAACATTGCTTCAATGGGTAGAAGACGATTATAAACAATTTTATGAAGAAATTCTTGAAAATACCAAGGTCAAGGAGAACAAACAAACAAAAATTAAATAACTGTGTCTTATGTTAATGTAAATTTTTGTTCTTTCGTGTGAAATAAAATTTGGAATTCATAAACGTACTTATTTATTTGAGAATCAAGAACGAATTGAGATATTTATCATCATGAAATAAAAATCATTTTGAAACAAATTTAATTAGTATTTAATGAGTTTGAAACAACTTAAGCTAATTTTTTTGACAAAGAATTTTAAGTTTATTAAAACAAATGGAAGATCGTTATTTTGCTTGAATATTACCTAAAGTACAAACCTGGGTTTGTAAAGGATTAAAATTTTCTAAAAAGTAACAGTTTTCATATGAAATGTTTTTTTCGTTTCCTGAAAAGTTATAAAAAGTGACTTAAGTTGTTTCAGTAATAAATAAGCAACTCAATTGACATTACAAAAGGAAGTAACCTTACTCAACATTCCTTCACGATATAATTGACATTACAAAAGAAAACTGATCAAGTACAACATTATTTATCTGGTTGATTGACAGTTATAAACAAAACTACCCTTACTCAACATTCTTTCCAGAGTTGATTGACATTTGTAAACAAACCTGACCTAGCACAACATTTTTTACCTGGATAATTGACATTTGTAAACAAAAACCACCCTTACTCAACATTCTTTCCGAAGTTGATTGATATTTGTAAACAAACCTGATTTAGCGCAACATTTTTTACCTGGATGATTGACATTTGTAAACAAAACTAACTTTGCTCAACATTCCTTCACGATATAACTGATATTACAAAACAAAATTAACTTTACTCAACATTCTTTCCGGAGTTGATTGACATTTGTAAATAAACCTGACCTAGTACAACATTTTTGCCTGGGTAATTAACATTTGTAAACAAAACCAACCTTACTCAACATTCTTTCCGGAGTTGATTGACAATTGTAAACAAACCTGACATAGCACAAACTTTTTCCCTGGGTGATTGACAATTGGAAACAAAACCAACCTTACTCAACAATCTTTTCGGAATTGATAAACAAAACTCACCTTGCCCAACATTCCTTCACGGCATAATTGACATTACAAAAGAAAACTAACCTTACTCAACATTCTGTCCCAAATTGATTGACATTTGTAAACAAAAGCAACCTTACTCAACATTCTTTCCAGAGTTGATTGATATTTGTAAACAAACCTGACCTAGCACAACGTTTTTTACCTGGTTGACTGACATTTGTAACAAAACCAACCTTACTCAACATTCTTTCCGGACTTAATTGACATTTGTAAACAAAATCAACCTTACTCAACATTCTTTCCGGACTTAATTGACATTTGTAACCAAACCTGACCTGACGCAACATTTCTTACCTGGATGATTGACATTTGTAAACAAAGTTTATTTAGGGTTGCCTTTAACTTACTTATCTTAAAGTTACCTATAACATGCTAACCTAGGCATCGAAAATATAGATTGTTACAGGACAATAAATCAACAAAATGGTCCGAGGAGTTTCAAATCCTGCCCGATTTATGAAAAACAGAGCGTATCATTTAGGCTTAAACAATCACCTTACCTAAGTAGTTACGTTTGGAACAAATATCAAATTAAAAAAAAATCATATCTCAAAAAATAATTGAGATATCAAGATAATTTAAAAACCATTTTAAAGCAAATTTAATCTAGTTTCAACACACCAAAAATAATTTCTTCGCTTCTGGTGATACGATTTTTTTAATTCAACTCTGTTCTTATTGAGGTTAAGTTGAATAATGCAATTTACATGATCGTATCTCAAGAACGAATTGAGATATCGCCATGAAATAAAAATCATTTTGAAGCAAATTTAATTAATATTTAATGAGGTTAAAATTAATTTTTTATTGCAACAAATTTCGATGTTATAATTTTTTTAATTCATCTTTACATTTTTATTTTTGACAGATTAAGATTGAAAATACCAAACTTGAAAAAATCATATCTCAAGGAATAATTGAGATATCAAGGTGATTGAAAAACCATATTAAAGCAAATTTAATCTATCTTCAACACACGGAAAATAATTTCTTCGCTTCTACAAATTCAGGTGATACGATTTTCTTAATTCATTTCTGTTCTTATTGAGGTTAAGTTGAATAATGCAATTTACACGATCGTATCTCAAGAACGAATTGAGATATCACCATGAAATAAAAATCATTTTGAAGCAAATTTAATTATTACTTAATGAGGTTAAAATTAATTTCTTATTGCAACAAATTTCGATGTTATGATTTTTTTTAGTTCATCTCTACATTTTTATTTTTGACAGATTAAGATTGAAAATACCAAATTTGAAAAAAAAAATATCTCAAGAAATAATTGAGATATCAAGACGAGTTAAAAACCATTTTAAAGCAAATTTAATCTAGTTTCAACACACCAAAAATAATTTCTTCGCTTCTACAAATTCAGGTGATACGATTTTTTTAATTCAACTCTGTTCTTATTGAGGTTAAGTTGAATAATGCAATTTACATGATCGTATCTCAAGAACGAATTGAGATATCATCATGAAATAAAAATCATTTTGAAGCAAATTTAATTAATATTTAATGAGGTTAAAATCAATTTTTTATTGCAACAAATTTCGATGTTATAATTTTTTTAATTCATCTTTACATTTTTATTTTTGACAGATTAAGATTGAAAATACCAAACTTGAAAAAATCATATATCAAGAAATAATTGAGATATCAAGATGATTTAAACACTATTTTATAGCAAATCTAATCTAGTTTCAACACACCAAAAATAATTTCTTCGCTTCTACAAATTCAGGTGGTACGATATTTTTAATTCAACTCTGTTCTTATTGAGGTTAAGTTGAATAATACAATTTACAACATCGTATCTCAAGAACGAATTGAGATATCGCCATGAAATGTTAACAATGTTAACAACAAATTTCGAAGTTATGATTTTTTTAATTCATTTTAATATTTTTATTTTTGACAGATTAAGATTGAAAATACCAAATTTGAAAAAAATCATATCTCAAGAAATAATTGAGATATCAAGATGATTTAAAAAACGTTTTAAAGCAAATTTAATCTAGTTTCAACACACCGAAAATAATTTCTTCGTTACTACAAATTTAGGTGATACGATTTTTTTAATTCAACTCTGTTCTTATTGAGGTTAAATTGAATAATGCGATTTATATGATCGTATCTCAAGAACGAATTGAGATATCGCCATGAAATAAAAATCATTTTGAAGCAAATTTATTTAATATGTAATAAGGTTAAAATTATTTTTTTATTGCAACAAATTTCGATGTTATGATTTTTTTAATTCATCTCTACATTTTTATTTTTGACAGATTAAGATTGAAAATATCAAATTTGAAAAAATCATATCTCAAGAAATAATTGAGATATCAAAATGATTTAAAAACCATTTTAAAGCAAATTTAATCTAGTTTCAACACACCAAAAATAATTTCTTCATTTCTACAAATTCAGGTGAAACGATTTTTTTAATTCAACTCTGTTCTTATTGAGGTTAAGTTGAATAATGCAATTTACATGATCGTATCTCAAGAACGATTTGAAATATCGCCATGAAATAAAAATCATTTTTAAGTAAATTTAATTAATACTTAATGAGGTTAAGATTAATTTTTTATTGCAACAAATTTCGATGTTATGATTTTTTTAATTCATCTCTCCATTTTTATTTTTGACAGATTAAGATTGAAAATACCAAATTAAAAAAAAATCATATCTCAAGAAATAATTGAGATATCAAGATGATTTATAAACCATTTTAAAGCAAATTTAATCTAGTTTCAACACACCGAAAATAATTTCTTCGCTTCTACAAATTCAGGTGATACGATTTTTTTAATTCAACTCTGTTCTTATTGAGGTTAAGTTGAATAATGCAATTTATATGATCGTATCTCAAGAACGAATTGAGATATCGTCATGAAATAAATATCATTTTGAAGCAAATTTAATTAATATTTAATGAGGTTAAAATTATTTTTCTATTGCAACAAATTTCGATGTTATGATTTTTTAATTCATCTCTACATTTTTATTTTTGACAGATTAAGATTGGAAATACCAAATTTGAAAAAAATCATATCTCAAGAAATAATTGAGATATCAAGATGATTTAAAAACCATTTTAAAGCAAATTTCATCTAGTTTCAACACACCGAAAATAATCTCTTCGTTTCTACAAATTCAGGTGATACGATTTTTTTAATTCAACTCTGTTCTTATTGAGGTTAAGTTGTATAATGCAATTTACATGATC